AATTCTACCAATTTCCAGGCAGTAAGTCAATTTAACGCAGCAGTCAAGAAGTCAAGTCCTTCAAATAAAACATAAAATCAAGTCCGACGCTGCTGTTTGTGACAAATCAGACGATGCACTCTGTCCATTTCCCCGTGCTTCTACAATGACACTCAACTGCATATGTTCATTTACTCTAAGAGGCTCCAAGCTGCATTCGCAGAGGCTCTATTTTAGTCCTGATTTTATTCCATGTCCTCATTCCCATCCTCTGCGAAGACTGCAACATCCAGTCCTGTGGGCTCTATAAATATAAGTGCTCTCAACTTGACTGGACAATTTGTTCCCTGCAGTAATAATTCAAAATGTAAAAAAAAAAGTGCCTGATTTCTCCTAGCTTCTGCCCCTGAGGTATAGGCAAAACCCCGAGCTTATAGCTGGTGTGGGTTCTCCACAATGAAGCCAGGAGGAGAGGAAATGAGGAGGAGACGAGGACAAGAAGAGGGGAAAAAAAAAGGCACAAAACTGGGCAATTGGCAAAAAGTGTCAGGCATGGTATAAACAACCCATTTCCCAAAATGCCATCCATTGTGCCTTGTCTAGATAAGGCTGCTAAATCGGGCTGGAAAATGCGAGTTCCATTTCTCTCTATGGAAATATGATCCTTTTGTTTAAAGTCTGGCTCTTTTGTCTTCTTCTTCTTCTTGTGTGAATCTGTGTGCTCCAAAAGCTCACAAGAAGAAAATGATGCTGATGTATAGCCTCACCAATGACTGTGTCCCATGAGTGTCTGTTCACCCATCTCATGGTGACTGAGCTGCTAAGCTCATTACCATGACTCCTGCTGGACATCTGAGGACTTGCAGGGGTGTGACAGCAGATGCCACCCACCGACCCGTGGTTTCCGACACCAGCTCTGGGTGTGTGAAGCACCACCCTCGTGTTTTCCTTTGACTCTGGTTCTTAAAGGCCTCAGTTTGTGCGTCTGCTGATGACCTCCTCTCTCACACCTCTGCTCGTCGGCAATCCCTTCTTTCCCACGAAGCATTTTCACTGTACTTCCTCCCTCCCACTCTCTCTCACCCTCCCT